AGATGTCAGAACTCGATGACGGTAACGGGCCAAACCTGGCTAAGGTTCCGGACCCCCAGGGGAACGATGATGCGGAAGTCGGACAGCCCACCACCGAGGTAAAGTTGCCCGGTGCCGTAGGCGGGAATTCAGAGCCCAACGGTAAACGGAAGCAGGTGTTAACAGAAAAAGGGGCAGAGTACTTCAAGGAAGTGAAGTTGGCCAATCGTAATACCTGCAGCACAGCACTAGAAAGGCTGTGCACAGGAGTACGCGAGCTAATGCAGGGACAGACTGAACCCGCAGTCGAGATCCCACGCATGCGCGAACTGTATGGGGCATGGCTCCAGGTTTATGAGAGGCTCCTGGTCGCTCACCAAGAATACCAGAAGTTGCTCACTGTCGATGAGCGACGGCTGGATGACGACCATCACCACAAGAAGAAAAACCTATATTATAGGGCCTGTAAGCAAGAGGCTGAACAGTGGTTCGGGCTACACGATACAGTGGTTCTACACACGGAGGAGGATAGACGTTCTCGCGTGTCTAGATCTAAGCATTCATCCAGGACTTCATCGGTTGGTAGTAACCTATCCATGGCCAGGATGAAGGAAGATCAGCGACGGGCAGAGCTCAAGGCCCGAGCAGCAGCCCTTCAGGAACAGGCAGAGCTTGAGCAGGCCAAGTTGGCGCTCAGGCTCAAGGAGGAGAAACTCAGAATAAGGGCAGAGTTAAACGTCAGTGACGCTAGGGTGAGAGTTATAGAGGAGATAGAGATAAACGAGCGTGGTGACTTTAAACCCGACCTCCTTAGCAACAACGTTAATGTTATGCCTACCTTCGAGGAGACGGCCGCAGCTAGGACCGCTCACTTCGTGGCCAACAGTGGCCAACACGCCATAACTCAAAGACAGGCTCAGACAGCACCTGCTGTAGTCCAGCCTTACCAGAAACTATCTCCTGATGCTCAACCATACGTTCCAGCACCGGACCTGGGTTTCATCACCAAGGAACTTAGGAAACCACAGATAGCACTCCAGAAGTTCGGAGGAGACCCGATGGAATATCCACGTTTCCTTCGTCCGTTCAAGACGAGAATAGTTGCGTACACAGGCTCTGACGATGAGAGACTTAGCTACTTGGAACAGTACACCACTGCGGACGCTCACAAGATAGTAAAAGGGTACTCCCACCTAGAGAGTACGGTACGTTATAAAGCCACCATGAACGAATTGAAGACTAGATATGGCGACCCGGAAGTCGTTGCAGCAACCTACATAAAGAGAGCGTTGGACTGGCCAGTCATAAAGCCGGACAACGCTAAGCACCTGGATGACTTTACAGTGTTTTTGATGGAGTATGCGGACCATATAGAGCTCACCTTCTATCTGCACGATTGGTGGTAGTCCACGATTTTTAGCTCAAATATGGCCAAACCCGGACATTTTTCAAAACAAGCTGAATTTTTCTGGATAGGTTCAGAAAAATGTGTAGAATAACATACTAAAAGTCCCCGAAAATCCCCCTTGTGCATTTTCCAGAATCCAAGATGGCGTCCAAAATTGCCCCCATTTAGGGTTTTTCCCATAACTCTGGCTTCAGTCGAGCTAGAAACATGAATTAAATGTCTAATTATATGTTTTAATGCTCAAGGAATCTACTTAGGTACTTTTTGTGAGGTTTCAAGTGATACAAGTACCCTAATCCTAGATGATAGCGATAGGCGATCCCTTACACTCTATACCCTCACCAAACATCCCATGGATTTTTTCACAACTTAAACAATATAAAATCAATAACAAGTGCTTCCAAACGTACATCATGAACATCGTTGTATATTTAACCATATAATGGGGGAAGAAGCGCGAATGAAAAGAATGAATAGCGCAGAGTGAAACTACCTTCTGCAGAAATGCTTGGATCCTTCGAAAACATTCCGATTTTGACCTACAGAAAGCCTATCGTTCCCGGTTTACGAGCAGTTGTGGTAGAACCCCTCAAGAAACCTGAACAGGAGCTCTCTTCTCTCCGTTTGGCAGCTGCCTGGACTCCTTGTGGGTTGCCGGATATGTGCTGCGGGAGCTCTCACCTAGACCATTATGGAGTGGATTCATGAAGGTTGCCATGCAGGGCAATGAATATAAGCGAACTAGAATTGAAACTCTCTCATTCATCCATCTTGACTCCTCCAATCTGAGCACGATATACACTGCGTTGAACTTTGAACAACAACAGTGCAAAGATCATGGTTTGAACACATGTGCCGTAAGGTTTGATCAGCCATTGTATATCAAGGCAGCAGAGATTGTAGCCTCTTCACAAGATCTTGACAGAATAGTTGTTCGTCTCGGAGGATTCCATCTTCTCATGTCCTATCTCGGGAGCATTGGGCAGATAATGACTGGAAGTGGATTGGCAGAACTGTGGGAGACAGTCTATGCTAAGGGATCCATACTACATATGATGTCTGGACATGCCTTTTCCCGCGCCGTACGTGCTCATATCCTCACTTTAGCTGCTCTCATAAGTGTCTTGATAGATGCACCAGGCACATTGGATAGTGTTGACAAAGACCAACTCATAAACCTGTACAAGGCCCTTCTTGACAATGATCAAGCTGCCACCGACGCAGCAGAGGAGGAGTGTGTGAAGCAGTTGAGCCAGATAATTTCACAACTCCTTGAACATACTTCAAGTCAGAGCAGGACCGGTAAGCTGTGGGTAAAGTACATCCAACAAGTGGCTCTTCTACAACATTTCATTCGAGCTGAAAGGACAGGGGACTGGACGCTCCATCTCTACTGTGTGAGGAAAATGATTCCACATTTTCATGCTGCAGGACATCTACCCTATGCCAAATCTGCCAGGTTGTATTTACAACAGATGGATGATTTGGAGAAAACCATGCCGACTGATGAGTACAGTCTATTCACAGAGAAGGGGTACTTCACCATTCGTCGCAGAGACTCATTCTGGAGTGGTAACTTCTCAGATCAGACCATTGAACAGTTCCTGATGCGGTCGCTGAAAGCCTCTGGAGGAATGACACATGGTAGGGGCATCACCGATAGTACGTTGACTAAATGGGTCCATGCACTACCTCGCTGTGTTCCGTTCTGTGATGCACTTGAGAAGTTCACAGGAGTACACACCTGTACATCAGAGCAACATAAAGACATGTTGCAAAGTACACAGTCAAGAGATAACAAGCATCGATGTGTGTTTCTTGGATGGCTGGAAGCACATCCACCATTTGCGGGCTATGAACCTGATCAACTAGTGTCATTGTCCACCGGAGTCGTTGCGGATACATCTGTCAACTCTGACAATGCTGTAGAAATTGGTGAAAAGGCAGCATCAGAAATGTCAGGGAAAAGGCTCACACACATCACTCTACATCGCAATGACAAAGTGAAGACGATCGGTGCTAAAGAGAAGATGGTGCGAATCAGAGGACAGCAAGTAGAAGTTAATTCATCTCTACTCTTCAAAAGAATCACATGTGTTCTGAACAACAGATCAGAGCTGAAATCCTTCTTGGCGTATGAACTTGCTCCCCAGCCACCTTTGCTCTTCCAAGATGGTGTGATGCGAAAACCAACAAAGAGTTCTTTGGGACTTCTGTTGAAAGAATTCACGCAACCAATCAGCCTACCTGAAAATTGCATCTATGTTCTAGATGGCGGTCACTTTCTCCAATCTGTTGTCTGGCCTAAACCGTCTACCTATGCTGATGTGCAGCAGTCGTACATTTCGAACAACTCCGAGTGCGTTGTTTAGTTTAAGCACTTGGTGGTCTTCGTCTGTGGGGAAGCTAAAAAAGCCACGGACACTCTATACGTGAGGGACGTTCTGTCTGCCGACAACAGAAAGACAGCCGGTGGAAAACAGTTTTATAGTAAGGCCAAGAGCGGCATGCGTAGCCTGGCTAGCAGGGCCGAGAATGGTGGTTCTGACCGCCCCACTCAGGGGTCGACAGAGACCAACCGGGGGAGAACAAAGAAATTCGCCTTTGAAGCTCTATGCGGATTCTGCAAGGACGCTAACCATGACATGAATCAATGCGAGAACTTTATAGCTCAGCCAGCTAACGAGAGATCAGAGTTCGTCAAGGCAAATAGACTCTGTTTCGGCTGTTTAAAGCTGGAACACAGGAAACGAGAATGTAGATAACGAGAGGTCTGTAAGAAGTGCGGAGACAAGCATCCCACTTTATTACACGACGCGCGTCGAGTAAGGCGACCATCGCAGCCACAAGCTAAAACTAGCAATACCTGGGCTACCGGCACAGCCAACGAGGCACTGTGTTCTATGGGAGCCGGAGACGCCGGAGAGTGTACAATGGCCATTGTACCAGTCTTGGTCCGAACTCGGAACAACACCACTGTGGAGACATATGCTTTTCTCGACACCGGCAGTAATGTCAGTTTCTGCACCGACAAGCTCGCAAAGCGGTTGGGCGTGACAGGACAAAAAAGGACATTTATCCTCGACACCATGGGAATGCCACACTGCATGACAACTTGCCGGAGTAGCGATCTTGAGATCAGTGACTTGGACGGCAGTGACCATGTTCGCTTGCCGCCACTTTATACCAAGAAGAGAATTCTGGTGACACCGCGACACATTCTAACCCAGCACGATATTGAAAGATGGGACCATCTACAAGGGATCACGTTACCCACGTTAGATGCAGATATCGGTCTGCTGATAAGGAACAACGTACCGGACGCTTACACCCCTCAGTTAATCAAGACAGGACCTCGTGGTAGTCCTTATGCAGCTAAGACTGTATTATGCTGGATTCTGTGGAACGTGATAAGAGACCAAGACTGTGTACAAGGACAGTCGGCCACTACCACTAGGATAGAGGTGATGGCTGTGGAGGCGCTTGAGCAGAACAGAAAATTAGAACGTTTCGTCAGAAAGGCGATCGACATGACTTCCCTGAACGTGGTGTCGACTCCAAGAGAGAATCTTCAGTGGAGGATAAACAGTTCAAGGTGATAGCGGAGCAGTCGATGAAACGTAAAGATGGTCACTACCACTTGGATCTCCCTTTCCGCAGCAAAGAGGTCAGGCCACCTGACAATCGCGGCCAAGCCTTGAATCGCACGTTATCACTGCACAGGAAGCTGGTGAAAACCCCGGACTTTCACAGAGACTATTCGAGCTACATGAGTAACCTCACTGAGAAGGGTTATGCCGAGAGGGTTCAGGCCGAACCCCACGACCCCGGACGCGAGGGGCCAAAAGGGTATATCCCACATCACGGTATATACAACCCGAGCAAGCCTGGGAAAATCCACGTGGTTTTTGACTGTTCCGCCAAGGTGATGGGGCTATCCTTGAATGACACACTGATCCCAGGACCGAGTGGTATCCTGACCAACACCATTGTGGCAGTGTTGTTGCGTTTCCGTCAACAGCCAGTCGGCATAATGGGAGATATAGAAGAAATGTTTAATCAAGTAGGAGTCAGTGAGCGGCATAGAGACTGTCTGCGGTTCTTTTGGTACCCAGACGGCGAGCTCTCCAGGGAGCCCTGCGTCTACAGGGTGAAGACGCATCCGTTCAGAGCGGTATCAAGCCCGGCCACAGCAGCTACCGCCTTACGGCAGTGTGCTCTAGATAGTAAGGACGACTTTCCGAACACTGTCATCGACACCATCCTTAACAGCTTTTATGTGGATGATCTGCTGAAATCCATGGAGGAGGAAACGGCTGCAGTAGGGCTGAGAAAGGACATTACATCTGTTTGCAGTCATGGAGGCTTCCGGCTACACAAGTGGGTCACCAACACTAAGTCCGTCGCAGATTCGATTCCACCATCTGAAAGAGCTAGCCCAAAGCCTGTGGTAATCGGCAGTGATCATAGTACTCAACAGGCTGAACGTGCCTTGGGAATCTACTGGGCCACGGTGGGAGACACCTTCGGCTTCAAGTTATGCATACGTGAGAAAGACGCCACTCTCGGTGATAAGCAGCGTCTTCGACCCACTTGGCCTGGCTGGACCGTTTATCTTACCTGCCAGAGTGTTGCTCCAGGAACTCTGTAAAAAAGGGCTCCCAGGGATGAAAAGATCGACGACGAGTAAAAGAAGCAGTGGTATCGCTGGTTCACCAAGATCCAGCAGTTGGAGCACATCTCGGTACCGAGGAGCCTGCGGCCTGAGACATTTGCAGTAATCTATTCTTGCCAATCAATCAATCAATCGTTCAACTTCACGCATTCGCATCAGACCAGGGATACGGGATCGCAGTCTTCGTGCATCTGCAGAGCACCGATGGTCAGGTGCACTGCACGTTGCTGTTTGGAAAGTCAAGAGTCGCTCCAATCATGAAGGTAACCACACCAAGAATGGAACTCACAGTGGCCAGCGTTGCCGTGAAATTCGTCGGCATGATAACCGAGGACATGGAGTACAACTTTGATAGAACTGTGTATTGGACTGATAGCGTCTCAGTGCTACACTGCATAGCTAACCGGACAAGTCGTTTTCACACGTTCGTGGCCAATTGGGTCGCCACAATGCAAGAGGGATTCACTCTAGATCAGTGGCGGTATCTCCCCACCCAAAACAACCCAGCAGACATAGCATCCAGAGGGATAATTTCTAGGAATAAGGCTGGAGTAGAACGGTGGTTGAAGGCACCGGGCTTTCTATGGGAGCCGGAGACGGAGTGGCCCGGGGTTCCCTTCGCAATAGAGCTGCCAGTAGGAGATCCTGAGGTCAGGAAGACACATGCTGCTCTAGTCACACCCGATAAGGGCCCCGGTGTTGGTAGCTGTGTAACGCTGCACAGCGTTACAAACGCGAGAGCTGCTGTCTCCCCCCGCACCGGCGCGATGGCTCTGTCGACAGTCGCGCGAGCGCGCCGAAGGATTGGATGATTAACCGCCGGAGAAACTAATCAATCGCTGAGCACGTGCATCGACTACGGCATGCCGAAAGTCGAGGCAGGCCCAGCCGATGGATCAAAGGATTAACCGACGGAGGACCCTAATTAACTGGTGTGCACGTGCGCCGACTACGACATAGTGCTATCGCACCGACTATATTACGACGCATAATGCGACGTGACAGTAGTGCGCAGTGTACCATGTAATATAGTCCAAAGGTGCTGACCGCGTCTTAGTTGCAGCAAATCAGGCGGAAAGACAATTAACACCACTGCCAAGAGTCACGATAAGTGCTCGAAACGCATCTGCGCCGCTAGGTGTCGCCACCGCCCAGGACCACGGTGGTGCGCATAACGCATCTACGCCGTCAGGTGTCACCGCCGCCCAGGGTCACGGTGGTGAACCACGCATGCGCGAGTGTGTGCAACGCTGGCATTGGTGTGGGCGGCGCGTGCGTGATGCATGCGCCGCGGGCGTGCCTGCGGCTATAAAGGCCGACACCAGGGGAGAATCGAGAAGAATCTCCCCCACAATCAGGCACGACCGCGACAACATCTTGTAACCTTATCAAATCACCATTAAACGCCAAATCATGGTATAACAACTGGCTTTCTCTTGTTTATGGCTTTGACATAACATTGTAAACTTCACAAAAATAGTAACGTTAAAACAAACGTTACATTTGGTGCCGTGAAAGTCGCTCAAGTTCCTGGTTGCGTGGGCACATCCCATGGTGCTAACACTATACGTTCATTGTGCCGTAGCACTGTGTTATCATCAACTTCACTTTTTCATCTACCGCTCGTGTATTACCGCTATGTTCATAACAGCGCCGTACAGTCGGCTGGCTAAGCAAAGCTAACCTTTACCGGTTTAGATCTAAGTCCCATTATGTCTAAGTTATTAATTGCCGTGCTAGAGCATGTAATTCATTACTGTCGTCGATTTCTGACTTATGCGCGTCCTGTGCGAGTGTTGCAGTCTCCGTGCTATGTGCATTAGTTGATTGCACACATTCGCAGATACCAAGACGGTCTGATAATTAATATTATTGTTGCTCGAGTAATCTACCCCTATCCCCTAACCGCGTCCATCGTGCAACCCCGCTTCTCCCATGGAACTGCCTCACCCACCGTAGAATGACATACCAGAGATTGCGCATTTATTTCGCGAATCGTTGCGCCCAACCGTTGAATCTGCTGCTGCCTCGTTTCAACACGGGCTACGTGTTGCGGAAGCTCGCACTTCCGTTCCGCGTTACACTGGCGATAATGCGCCATTATCGATTACTTTCGATGACTGGCTCAGCAGTCTAAATTGGAGACAACTAGAATTGGGTCTCGACAATACGTCGTTGCACGCATTTGGCCTATCCACGCTCGGAGGTCAAGCCGCTAAATTTTGCCGCCGCCTCCTTATCGACGGCCTGCTATAACATTGGAACAGCTTACTGAGCAATTAACTAAACGTTTCGGCGATCCGCTGCGCGAAGTAAACGCTCAGAATGTGCTTAAAAATTTCCAGCCCGCTTGCTAAAGCTGTCGTCCGGCCAATCACTACCACCAGGTCTGTTCGTTAAGGAAGACAACTACGTAAAAAAGTGGCGTCAGGTACAACACCTGTCTAACATGTTCTGGCGTCAATGGAGCACAGCATACTTGCAGCAACTGCAGGAACGTCAGAAATGGCAAGATGAAGAACGTAATGTGAGTGTTGACGACGTTGTGTTAGTAGTGGACAGTACGTAGCAGGCCAAGGAGCCGATGGCCTTTGGGTCGGGTTACCGAGGTTGTCGAGGGCAGCAAGGGACTAGTGCGCGTTGTTAGAGTACGAGTTGGCAATGCCACATATGAGTGCCCGATTACCAAGTTGTGTGTAATCCTGGAGGCGGACTAATCGGTTAGACGGTATGGGCAGTCCGTTCGTCTTCCATCAGTTGGAGGAGCCCAGGATGAGAGACTAGAGTTATCTACTGTGGAGGAGGACTATACTCTGTTTCAAGTTCTAGGACACTTGGGTTTTCATGTTCTGTTTTCGGAGTTGAAAACCGTACAAGTTGGAGTTGTGTTTATTATGATGTTGTTATACATGTAGGTAGTAATTGTCATTGTCGGTTGACAATTAGGGAGCCGGTGTATCGGGAGTAGAACCTTATTTAGGCACTCCCGGTAGGTCTGGGCTGCCCCGCCACCTGGTGTTAGGTAATGTAGTTATTTCCGCCATTGTTGTTGTTGAAACCACGTGGGACCATTTTTAGTTTCTACTTGTAAAAGTGTGGAATTTGCTACTTAGAGAGTTTGTCCCTGTACTAGAGGTAAGCATATGTATAGAACACATTGTGGTGAAGATGTTTGAGGGGTTTAGGCTGATTAGGCACCCGGCTAATTACTGTATAAGGACTTCTTTGTCCAATCTGTCAGAAACTTGGCGATGTGCCCTTCTGGTGTCTAGTGTAGCGGTGGCACCGGACCCTCGGGGTCCTAGCAGGGTGGCTCCCTGGGAACCGGAGTGTGGGTGTTCCGTGTTTGTGTCTGTATAATTATTTGTGATGTCTGCTGTCTATTAGTGTGCGTTTTCGTGGTGTTTTGCCGGCTCATCAATTAACGATGTAGATAGTCGAGTCCCTACATGGGGGCAGCCATGCTGGGTTAGCCACCCCCTCTAGCGGCCGTGAGTGGCGCGGGCCGTGTGAACAGCTAGTGGAGTGCCGTGTGGAGACACGGTACGCAGTTCGGCTCGGGGATCGGTTGAGAGAGAACGTGTAGTTTAGTTCGTCCCGGTAGCCGAGTGAGGGAGGACTCGTCAGGTGGTATAATATGTAGCCGCGTCCACTCCGTGCGTATGCATGCTGTGGAGCGGCCTGTGAGCTGTGTGTGGCGGGTATAGTGACAACTAGCGTACGATAACCCGTGGTGAGGTACTGTACGATCACGGGTGTTTGGCGTGTGCCTTGCCTCAGGGGTGAGAGAGACAGGCGCGTCGGTTAATTGGTGAGCAGGCACTGTCGTATTGTCCTGTTGTCGTTGTGGGGTGAGTAAATAATACAGTACTAGTAGTAGTCGAATATTAAATAGGTTGGTTTAATATTCCTAGACTAGAGTACGAGTATTGAGAAGTATTAACTCTCGTGCACGGCTGCACGGGAAGAGAGGCTGTCGGTTACTGTAGGCCTTTGCCCGGCTGCGTTCATAGTTCATTCTATTTGTTTTACCTCTGTGCTTACCCTGGGTTTGCACTTGTTATTCAACGTAACGTAAGGCCGGTAGGCAGGGGTGGGGCTACCCCGTTGTGGTGTCTGTGGGGTGTGTCGCCCCTCGTCTGGCATGGTTGACTAACTCCACGACGCACCGAACCGGAACACGGCGGAACAGGTTATTTCGGGAGCGCAGTAGCCTTGAAGCGCTCGAGTGGCTCGAACGCTTCCGGGCACAACAGGTGAGTGAAAGACCTAAGGTTGCGTGCTAGTCACTAAGTGTCGACCGGTGGCGCCATAGGGTGTCGCAGGAAGATACGAAACGCTACACTAGCTTGAGTAAAAATTGGTCAGTGTTTTATTTAGCATTCGTTAGTGGCACTGTTTCGGCCCTGTCGAGTGGAGAAGTCATGCCTGAGTTAGCTGTGGTATTGTTTAAGGACATTTCCATAGTTTAGGCCTAATTTGTGCAGTTGTAGGAGTATTTCCATGTCTGGCCCCACTGTCAAGTCAGTTTTTGTAGTTATCACCAGGTGGCTGCGGCCGAGACTATACGCACGGCGGCCGTGTAGATCAGATTCAATATGACTATACGCACGGCCGCCGTGTGGCGGACTCAATATGGCTATACGCACGGCGACCGTGTGGATAAAATTCAATATGGCTATACGCACGGCGGCCGTATGGCCGACTCAATATGGCTAGGAATGAGGGAGGGGAGAAGGGAGAAGCTGGTGGAGAAGAAGGAAGGGGAGAAGGGAGAAGGTGGTAGAGAATGTGGAAGGGAGAAGCTGGTGGAGAAGGAGGAAGGGAAGCAGGAAGAAGGTGGTGGAGAAGGAGGGGAGAAGCTGTTGGAGAAGGAGGAGGGGAGAAAGGAGAAGGTGTTGGAGAACGAGGAGGCGGAGAAGCTGGTGCAGAAGGAGGAGGGGGAGAAGAGAGAAGGTGGTGGAGAAGGAGGGGAGAAGCTGGTGGAGAAGGAGGGGAGAAGCTGGTGGAGAAGGAGGAGGGGGAGAAGAAGGTGGTGGAGAAGGAGGGGAGAAGCTGGTGGAGAAGGAGGAGGGGGAGAAGATGGTGGAGGAAGGGAGAAGCTGGTGTAGAAGGAGGAGGTGAGAAGCTGGTGGAGAAGGAGGAAAGGGAGAAGGAGCGGGAGAAGGGAGCTGATGGAGGAGGAGGGGAGAAGAAGCTGGTGGAGAAGGAGGAGGGGG